CAGAATTTGTGATGATGCAAGATGGCATGACAAATCAGGGTCCATGGGAAGAAAAATTATTAATTGGCCTTAGGCGTGATGTGATTATGCCTCATATTAATTATAAATTATTATATTTTTTTATATTTTTCAATCACTTAATAAAAATTTATAAATTTCACATTTTCTATCGATCACAAAATACCAGGACCAACCAATAACTTCTGCGATGGTAAAGCGCGAGCTTGTTGAAGTTGTACGGTGAGGCTGCTGATGCCAAGGATAAAATAGTTGCGAAAGTACAAGTGTTTAAGGCAGGGGGGAATTGGAGGCAAGAATCTTTTTCTGAAACTGGGGTCATATTTGGACTTTTTTTTTTTTTGAAAAAAAACGGATTATGGGTCACTGCTGTGGTAAATACACAGCAGTGATTATTGTGGTTCATTTTGTGATGCATTATAAATTTATTTTTATGATTTGAACCGTTCATTTTGTAGGATTTGTTAAGTACTTCAAGCTTACCAAAAATCATATTAATCGGATATCAAAAACTATATGATCGAATTGCATATTTTTATACTATTTTTTAAAAGAAAAACTTTTTGTTTGTTTTTTTGGTTATCAATCATATAGTTATTGGTATCTGATTAATATGATTTTTGGTAGGCTTGAAGTACTCAACAAACCTTACAAAATGAACGGTTCAGATCATAAAAATAATCTCATAATGCACCATAAAATGAACCACAACAGTCACTGCTGTGTATTTACCACAGCAGTGACCCCAAATCCGAAAAAAACAGGAATGGAAATGGAAGAGGACCCACAAGTAGGACTGACGGAATGCTTGAAACCGATCGTTGCCTACTGGGGGAGTAGACCTTGACGCGTGGTTGACGTTGCTCATATTCACTTCTCTCACTACTCATTTAAAATATATATACATATATATTGTACAATTGATTATAATCTTGAATTAATGCATCAATGTATTAATAATGATGATAGTGGTGAGAGACAGGGGAGAGCAGTGGTGGTGGTGTTAATGACGGTGTAGTGAGAGTGGTGGAGGAGGAGGTGTGGTAGTGGAAGTGGTATGGATGGGGTGGTGAAAAATGGTGGAATGGATGGAGGTGGTAGTCAAAGGGGTGGGATTAGTAGTGGTGGTATAATATAATAGTGGTGGAGGTGGTGGTAAAAGAGGTGATAGTGGTGATAACAATAGTAGTGTGATGGGATAGTAAAAGTGGTGAAAATGATAATATATTAATATTGTAGTTGCATTGGTAATCGGCTACTTGAGTTCTATTTGTTATATAAGTTAAACAACTTGCTATTTGACTTAGGCCTCGTGTGGAAATTTTTTTTTTTATTTAAAAAGTCAAAAAGTTATTAAATTAGTAAAAAAGTCAACAACTCATTTTTTCTCTACTTTTTGCACATCTTTTCGTAAAGGAAAATGTTTGAGGGCCACAATTTTTGTGGCCATAATGGCTCAAAACTGTCAAAACGATATCGTTTTGGGTGCAAAACATGTCAAAACGACGTCATTTTGACAGTTTTGAGCCATTGTGGTCACAAAAATTGTGGCCCTCTAGCATTGTTGTTTCGTAAAAAACTAAAAAGTTATCCCAAATATACTAATTTTTTTTAGCTCATATTTTAATCAAATAGCCAAAAAATTATTAAATTAGTATGTTCCCAAACGGGGCCTTAATAAATATATATGCATGAGAAAAAAAAGTAAATTATTCGTATTCAACTGGTTTTAATCTTATTTGAGATTCCCTGGTTATTTTGAAACTCATTAATGTCTTAGTAATGCTATTCAAATTTAAAAATTAAATTTAGTTTTTAAGCTCAATAATTAATCAATAAATTATTTTGATGTGTTACTTCTTTTTTATATATTCTCTAATTATTAACTAATCATTTCATTTACACATCATTGGGTCTAAAAAATGAGTCTAAATAGTGAGTTTGTATATCAATTTTTTTTTTTTTAAATTTTTGAGTAAATTACAAATACACCATATAGGTTTACTTAAAATAAGATTTTCTTCCTGTGGTTCTGGAAATTATATCTTGCCTCTTAAAATTTCAAATTTCATAACAGATAGCCCATTTTAGTGATAAATTCTTAAGTCAATTAATCGTTTTTAATGATATCATAAATTTATTTCAATTAATAATTCAGATAGTTTTATCATTGTATATGAGAGCAATTAAGAATTTCATTTTTACAATTAATTCTATTAAATAAAAAATTCTAACAAGTGAGTACTTGTAATTTTTCAAATAGTAGAAAGTAATTCATATTTTAAACAAAACTCAAATGGTGTATTTATAATTTGTCCTTAATTTTTTAAGCAAAACTTGAACCACCTAATGGGCAAAACAAAGAAAGTAAAGTTACAAAATTTTCTCAGGTTTCTGAATTATGGTGGCATGTAAAATACATTTATTAGAATTGGTTTATAAATAAAGAGTTATCAAACAAAACCAAGGGCGTTCGATTATTAGGAATTCACAGTGTGAACGAGTTGGTGTTGCATTCACTTTTTAAAAAAAAAATAATCATTGAATTAAGACTCACGGTTTTGGATAGGCCTTGAGTCTACCACAACCTAACCAGACAAAAGGTGAGCTTGGGGTCGCCCTCTCTAATACTAATCCATTCAATTGATAGAAAGCAAACAGGAGAGATACTTTGGGGAACTTACACAGTGATGTTTCAGCTACTTTATGCTTGGGAGTACTTCAATTATTTGTCCAAACAGACCCTTATATGCATCCTCAATTACATATGCAAACAGGACAGCACTGGATTACATCATAGACTTTTCAGATTCTATTTTTCCGTTGCTATAATGCAGCTTTTAAAAAGGACATTCTCCTAACATGAAGACATTAGCGATATTTCTTTATCTTTTGAATTGTTAAACCGGTCAAATTATCAAAATTTTCAAACATAGCTTTAATATAAGGTTGATCTTAAGAAGTGAAAATATCAAAGTCTTCGAGGACTTGTAGCAGTGGAACGCATTGCACTATCAACTACAGGCACAAACAATAGCAAGAAAAATCAATCACAAACAAGAAAACAAAACACACAGATTCACATGATTTGTCAAGATCATCTATGTCTACGGTTGACACTAGTTACACCATACAGAGAGAAGAAAATGAGTTCAATGCGACTGTGGAAGATAAAAATGTCTATCTATATCTATCTATCTATCTATCTATCTATCTATCTATATATACACATATTAGAGTTTACATCAACACATGATGGTACAATCCTTAATATCAATTGGACCCACAACGGCGTGATAGTATTAATCAAGTTTCAAAAGCCAAACAGGGAGTTATGAATTATATACGATGCAAAATTAAATTACCAAGAGAACAAATCAATTTTGAGGAAAGGAATTGGGAATCTTAAAGGGCCCTTTTCAGAAAGCTAGTCCAATGAGATGAAACAAATTTGGGTGAAGTTGATTGAGATTTTAGAATTATAGCATCAAGAGACTACTTTATGAATACAAACATATATTGTTACCTCCTTTTCACTTTTTAACATATATTGCCTCTGTGGTCCCTTGATTTAGTAGCTTCGTCCATTCTAAAGGCTGCAAATCTAGTTTTTTTAAGGATCTTTTACCACCCCAAGTTGACAATATTTGCTGTCCAGAAAAATAATGTGTAGTCTAGATTTAATTTTTGTATAGCGGAACTCACACTTGAAATGAATCTCAACCACACAATTGTTTTTTCTAGTTTATTTTCTTGATGAATTTTCTCAACCCCTAGTATTATTGTTTGCTGTGTTGTCTCTTTGGGCACCAGTGCTTCTTATTCCTCCGCTGCACCCCAAAATTTTTGATACTAAGAATGGAAATATTCAAAATTAAGGGTCTCAATGTAAAGTTCATAAGAGCATTTTACTGGTGCTTCTTGTGCTGAGTGTCAGTGTGTGTGTGGATGAAACTGTGGGAATTTCAATCCTTCAAATATTATGAATTTGAAGTTAGCAGTTATTGTAGAGCGGACGCTAGAGTTAGAATTTGGTTGGTCTTCACAAATTAGTGATAAGCTCAGGGACCAATGGCATCTTTCACGAGTGCCTCAGTCTTTTTATGATTGTTTCTTAATCTGACAGCAAACAGATAGCGTGAAAATGGATTTGTGGGGAAATTTTGCATCTTCAACTATGTGGTATATGTGCCACACATTCTAAATCTTTTTTTTAAGTACTTTGTGCCAATGTCTGTGTGAATGGTTCTACAAGTGGAATTGCAGGCATATTTGAAATGAGTCCATGTATATCATACATATTGTGAATTGTAACAGTCTTAAGGATCGCAGGACCACCATCTTTTGCATATTTTGGCTGCTTTGTCCATCTCTTTCACAAATCTATCGATTTCAATCAAATATTACTTATTTTCTGTGTTTAAAAAAACACACACACACACACACACACACACACACACATTTCATGATGCATTTCAATGATGTGCATCTTATAATGGTTCAAGCCTCTCAAATCAGCTGCTCTCAATCTAAAAGACGAGGTCTCAAGATGAAATCAAGAAATGTTATCTGCACTCATAGAGAGAAGGACGACTCAACACATAAGGCTCTCGTTAATGCAAAATTTTTTAAAAAATGTTTGAGAATGTTTTAAATAAATATTATGCATATACGACTGTCCATTCTCTTTTTGTCACTTCCTCCCCAAAGTGGGTATCTTAGACTACGTAGTTTGTTATTTGCACTCATAAAAACCATAGATTGCTAATACTCTTGATTACCAAGATATGAAATTAATGGAACAGACGCACAAAAATAAGAGCATATATGGAAAAGCCAAACCCGAGAAGTGTTGTAAATGCCAAATCTAATTCTGGACGAAAGAAAACATGGCATAACACCTCTGCTTATGTGGCATATACTTGAAATATGAAGCAATCATAAATGGTTTAGAACTCTCAAGTAATCACAATTCTATATGCTAATTAACAATAGCCAAAACGTAAAATTAGCGCGCTTATTACCCAGATTTTTGGTATTTACAAACTTCACATATGTCATGAAACATGATTAAGTTATTTTCAGAAAACAAAATGTAGCACATAAACCCTTAAATTCCTGCCTACGAGCTATTTTATTACCATGTGTCACTACAAGAAAAATTGCAAAAGGTAGCGAGATGAAGTGGCTAGTCAGGAGATACAACAATGATCAATTACATGACGGAGCAAGCATTTGGATTCTCATCGCTAAAGATTTGAGGGGGATAAGCATACTCCATGGCGTAGTTTGGGTGCCAATATTCGCTTTTCTTGATGTCGGTCTTTTTATCTTCATCTCCTCCCTTCCCCTCTTCACCTTCTTTCTTTTCGCCTTCTCCACCTTCCTTTTTCTCACCTTCTTTCTTTTCTTCTTCCTTTTTCTCTTCCTCCTTCACAATTGAAGCTTGCTTTCTAGTTTTCTTATAAACATCATTGACAAGCTTTGTGGGATCAATTTTGCCTTTCACAGTTACTTGATCATTTGCTAGGTCTGCCATTGCTGACTCTACACCTGCGAAACATTCCAATAAATCTTTAAATTGTACTGAAAAACTAATTCTAGTTTTTACTTGAGTGGTTTGAATTGTTGATGATGTATATGGAAGCCAACCTTTAGACTTTTTAAGAGTTTCTTGCTTACAAGGAACTTCATTTTAAGAAAATCATTTTCATGGAAAATAACAGGGTAAAATGATAAGACTCACCGGAATTTTCATGGAAAAGCATGGGAAATTAGTCCTAACTATTATGTAACATTATCTAAGTGGTACTCTTACATATGAGAAATGGAAAACACGTCAGGTGAGTTATCATTGTCTCTCAACTACCTAACAAAAGTGAGTTAGTATTATCTTACCATAAAATTAGCTCCAATGGTATGTCCACATGTAAATAACCACGAGATTTTAGGTTCGTGTCCCAACTTCATGGATATGTGAAGTTGTGAAGTTAGCAATTGTTTGCAAATATTCAGAATTTATTCCAAGTCTCACCAAAAATGAGGTAAAGAGTTTCTCGTCATGAAAAATAAAAGTAAAAAATTCCGTTACATTCATTTGATACTCTAGAACATGAGGTAGTCCCTCTATAACTATGAACTAGCTGCATTATAAATTATCAAATATTTTACTAAATATATCATATACACATGGTAAAAAGTGAAACAATGGTTTCATATGTATTGTGAGCTAGAATTCTAAATAGCCAACCTTTCAGTTTATCGGGTCCAGGTTAGCCAACTGGATCACTAACCCTATTTATTTATCATGACCTCAAAATCTAAGTTGAAACAACCAACCTCATGGCCCATATCAATTTTTTCAAGCTCAACACTAATGAGGCAACAAGAGGCAACCCGGTCCAACCAGTGGAGGGGGCCTAATCCAAGATGGCCTTGGTTGATGGGTAACTGGGTTGAGTCATTGATCGGATCAAACTGACACAAAATTTAAAATTAACAATAAAAATTGAGCTAATTAAAGTGTAAGGACTATAATAACACAATGGGTAAGAAGTAGAGACTATTTGCGTAAATTGTCCTTCATTTTTAGAACCTGTTCTGCCAAGAAAAGAAAAAAGAAGAAAGGAGAGTTGAAGAAGGACAAGAAGAAAATAGAAAGCAAGAATGTAGAATGTGGGGGAATTGCAAATGGGACAATGGAAAATTAATTGCACTATAAATGAAATATTTTTTGGTGCAACTTCACAAACCGGAAGGACTTGCACCAACACAGGAAAGACTTACACTATGCACACAAAAAATTTGCACCATCATAAAAATGCAAATATTCTTTTATTATCCTACTGATTTGCAATTTTCCTTAGAATGTATTACCAGGGATCTTTCGGATTCTCTTCTGCAAAACTTGAGCACATGCTTCACAGTGCATTCCAACTTTCAACACCACTGTTACTACTGCTGGAGGCTGTCAAAAAATACACACAACAATACGAAGTAAATCCACCACTCAAAAGTTTTGATTTTATTCACAACACCAAAGGCTGCAAAATGAGAACTTCACCAGTTCTTGTTATGGAAAATGCAATAATAAAAAAATAAAAAATAAAAAACTAAAATACAACAAATACGTAATACATCATGATTTATTTGGTTCAGTTATAAGTCTAGTACGTGGACGAAGAACAATGACCAAGTTCCACAATAAATATAGATATTACAACGAGCAATCTTTCTCAATCACCAACTCTCTCACAAATCTCTTACAAAGTTCTCTTACAATAAGAACTTCACCAGTTCTTGTTATGGAAAATGCAATTAGAAAAAAAAAAAAAAAAACCTAAAACTAAAATAGAACAGACACATAATACATAATGATTTATTTGGTTCAGTAACAAGTCTAGTACATGGACGAAGAACAATGACCCAGTTTCACTATGAATATAGATATTACAACGAGCAATCTTTCTCAATCACCAACTGTCTTACAAAGTTCTCTTACAATGAGAATTTCACCAGTTCTTGTTATGGAAAATACAATTAAAAAAAAACAAATTAGAATAGAACAAACACATAATGCATAATGATTTATTTGGTTCAGTTATAAGTCTAGTACATGGACGAAGAACAATAACCGAATTTCACTATGAATATAGATATTACAATGAGCAATCTTTCTCAATCACCAACTTTCTTTCAAAGCTCACAAGATTTTTTAATTCTAGATCCTGAAATAACTCAATATATTTAAGGATCCAAATATACTAAACCGGGTCAAACTAGACCCAAAAAGTTTAATTTGAGAGACACTCACAACAAGCTGAACGCAAAAAATTAACAAGCTTGTTTTCAAAATTAGTATAAATTTGACTTGTTTACTAACAAATCAATTTTTAATATAATTAATCAAATTCGAAAAGTATAGTTGATTATAATGGGCATTTTCACCAGATTTGCACCAACAAATAGACACAACAGGGAATTAAGATCATGAGGCCCAGTAATTTACATACTATAGGGTTGATTGTGAAAAGCACAAATAATGTAGAGTGGTGGCACATGGAAGTAACTTGCTTCCATTTTAGTGGGTGTAATAAGTAATTAATCAGCAGAGCTGAAGATATCACATTGCTTTCAGACCTGTGAGGCCTTAGACCCCATTAATGCAGGCAAGGTAAGGTGGGGGCCTCTATATGTATATCAGTTTTATTACGATGCTAAAAATTAAATATATAGAGAAATATAAAATAAGGGCATTGACTAGTAAATTCCATATTCTCAATTTATGACTCACTTAGTTTCATAGATATTTTTGTAATTTAAAATGTCACATCTCACATTAAAATTTTTTATATGAAGAATACTCACATTTAAATGTAATATGTGTACGGATATATGATATTTCAATTTTAGAAAATCGTAATTGTCATATTATATTCTACATCTACTGTCACATTTTAAGAATAACACATTTAATAAGACAACAATGACGTAGACAATCTCACGTCAACATCTCCCAAATGAAATATATCCACATTTGAAAATCAAAAATAGTACTATCGAAGAATCTTCATGAAATATAGTGAAAGTAGTTTCACAGTCAAAATCTCCCAAATGAAATATATCCACATTTAAAAACCAAAAATATTACCACCGAAGAATCTTCATGACATATAGTTTCACAGTGTACCTTTTCAAATTTAATGAAACTTAATTTTCTACAAAAAAAAAAAAAAATCATGAAATTTTTGGTACACACTTTTCTACGATGAGATTTTCCCTATAAGATACATATAAATGAATAAAATTTTATTAAATTATTTTGTAGAACTTTATTTTTTAAAAGAGCATTGTTATATTCACTAAATTTGGATTTGCCCGAATTGTCCGAATTTATGCATGTCGGTTGTTTGGCCAGTCATTCGATAGAATACCGGTTAACACACTAGTAGACAAGGGTGATAATCGCGGTTAACAATGATGACAATTGCGATTAATAAAAGTGACACTGGTCATTTGGGGGATCGTTCAACCGATCATTAGGCCGGACACCCAATTTATGTAATTCGGACAATTCAGACGAGTTCAAATTTGATAGATCAATCATTTTGCTTTCTAAAAAAACATTTTGTATTGAGTTGTGTAATAAGTTTATGTATTCACATAAGAGCAAGATGAGTTATTAATCATGATGAATAATACCAAGAACAATAAAGCTTCGTAGCTCAAAAAAATTGTCTCGAATGACCTGACCTCTCTCTCTCTCTCTCTTTCTCTTTCTTTCTCTATCTCTCCTCCTCTGCCTTGGTCTTCTTCTTCCTTTTGAACTGTGACTTTGCGACGGTGGGCTCTCTCTCTCTCTCGACTCTTTGTTACCAGTTTTAGAGGGGGTACAAAGAAATTTGCCAAATGTTTGGTTTTGCTTTTGATTTTGGGTTTGGTTTTGATTTTGAGTTTTGATTTTATGGGTTTGGTTTTGATTTGATTTTGGATTACCCTCCTTTGTGTATCCACACATAGATCTGTTCTCCTCTCTCTATTATCTATTCTTTTCTCTTTTATTTACTCTTTGTTCTTTTTTTTTTTTTTTTTTTTTTTTTTTTGTTCTCCTGTCTCTACTCTAGTCTACTTCTTCTCTCTCTTTATGTTCTTCTTCTCTTCTCTCTATTCTCTGTTCTTTTCTTTTCAAATTTTTTTTTTTGAAATTTTTCTCTTTCTGTTCTTCTTTTTTCTTTTCTTTTCCTTTCTCTTCTTTCTTTTTCTAGACTATTGGCCAGCTGGAAGAGGAAGGAGAGAGAGAGAGAGAGAGATCTTTTTTTTTTTTTTTGTTCTCCTGTCTCTACTCTACTCTACTCTACTTCTTCTCTCTCTTTATGTTCTTCTTCTCTTCTCTCTATTCTCTATTCTTTTCTTTTCATTTTTTTTTTGAAATTTTTCTCTTTCTGTTCTTCCTTTTTCTTTTCTTTTCCTTTCTCTTCTTTCTTTTTCTAGACTATTGGCCAGCTGGAAGAGGAAGGAGAGAGAGAGAGAGAGAGAGAGAGAAGAAGAGGAAGAAGAGAGGGGGAAGGAAAAAGGGGGGGGGAATTTTTTGATTTGAGTTTGGGTTTAGAACAGAGGAAGAAGAGGGAAAAAAAAATACGAAAATACTACGTAACTCAAATTTTGTAGCTCAAAAGTGGTTCAAATGATCAAAATGACGTCGTTTTGAGTACAGTTTTGAGCCACAAAATTTGAGTTACGAGATATTTTTCAAAAATATATATATCGTTTTCGCATATCGAGTCATGACTTTTTCAAACTATCTAGCGGGACTGTACTAAGAATCATGAAAATAATCCTAATGATTAATATTAAAAATTATGAAAAAAAAATATTGTAAATTATTTCATAAAAATGATAAGTCATCTTAATTTGCTTTGGAAACGTGCACAATGGCCACGTCATTGGCAATTGTAATGTTGCTTTCATGTCAGCAAGGAAACAACAATCACAAGTTGCAAACTTTATAGCCCCAGAAGCTGAAGATTGTGGGTACCCCCTTCCCCACCCCTCCTCTCCCTTCTCTTTCAAACACACCATCCCAGACGTAATTTTTCACTTTATTACAGGCCCTACCCAATTTAAACCAGTGTTTTTTGTTTGGAGGTAAAATTTTAAAAGAAACAGCATTTTTAACCCACAAGTGATGAGTGAACAAATTTAGTGCACCGAGTATTTTGCAATTACTCTGGTAAATCGAATGGAAAATAATAGTAGCATTTTTAAAATTTACATATAACCACCATATTGAATTTAAATTTACATATAACCACCATATTAAAAAAACAATAGAACTCAACACAACACAAAAATTATATATTTATGTCCCGGTTTAAAATCACTAATTTTACCACTATTAGTTTATTTGTTTAAAAATAATAATAAAAAAGGAATAATATGTTGCCATCTAATACCAAGAACACAAAAATAGTAAAAACAAACCACATATAGCGGTACTAAAAAACTAAAAATTATATAAAATAATGTTGATTGATAAATACAATAGCCACTGATGAAAAGAGTAGATAGAGTTTATTACCTCCTCTTTCTTGTCTTCTTTGGGTTGTTCCTTGGTTTCCTCTTTATTATCCTCAGGGGGCTTGGGTAAAGGAGAAATGAGCTCAACTTTTCGCCCACTTTTCTTTTGAATCCTTTCCAACACCTTTATTGGGTCTGCTGTCTTCCCTTTCACCACCACCTTACTCGCCTTGCAATCTGCCGTTACTTCCTCCACACCTGCCTCCCACCTCAAAATAAAGTTCATTTAACCTGATACCGAGTTATCAAAAAAAAATATATATATATATATATATATATATTTACAAATATTGTATAGTAATTTTTTGGAAATATAATGATCTCAGCTGCGAGATGAGTTTGCAGCTAATCATTTGTTGAGAGCATCTTATGGTACTTTAAGAGTACCCTAAACTCTAATCAATTTTCATGATTAAATATTGCTGTCACTTGATAATAAACTATTATAAAGACACTTTTCTTTCCCACTACCTCCTTGAGGAATTATCTTGTACTCGAACAATAACAAGGGCTAAATTCTTAAATGATTTAAAAATAAATCACAAAATGGAAAAACACAATCATGTGGTGTTTCTGACTCATGTGATAGTTTCTGCATTAACTCAATGATGTAAAAAGTAGGACTTTAGTTTTTGAAATGAGTTTTGAATTGTATTTAGAAAGATAAGTTGTTGAAAGGTGAAAATTTGTTTAGTTATAAGTTTTAAAAATAGTTTTGGAATGATTTATAATTTTTTTATAATTTTTTTATTTTAGTTAAATAGATGTGTGAGAGAAAATTTGATTGATTAATGTGTAGAATGTGAGAAAATAAGAGAAGAGAAATGAGAGAGAAAAAGTAATTGATTAATTTATAATAATAAAAAAGAGAAGAAGAGAGGAGAGAGAAAATTGAGTTTTGAGTTATATAACTTATATTTTAAAATTTTGCTAACCACGCAAATTTTTTTTTAACAAATTTTTTAAATTTTTGATCCAAATCATGTTTTAAGAACTAAACCAAATGTAGGCTAGGCTTTAGTTGGAAACTCAACTTTGCACTATTTTCTAGCCATAGTTAGTGAACACTTCTCTCCTTTTTTTTTTTTTTTTTTTTTTTTTTTTTTTTTTTTTTTTTTTTTCTCTCAAAGTAGGTGAATTTAAAATTTACTATTTTTAAAAATGCACAGAATTCTATCATAGAATTATATATTATTTTTTTACATCATGTGGGACTCACATATTTTAATAAGTTTTATATCATTTGAAAAAACTATGTCAAGTTCTGTGATCGAATTGTATTTACTTCGAATTTTTCTAAAATTTATAGAGGTGGGAAATTAAAGATAGGCAAGAGTTAGCAATAGGAAAGAAAAGGACCTTGAAATCCTCTCAAGGATCTTGCAACTTTGCGCGCACAGGCCTCACAATGCATATCCACCTTGAGCACAATCTCTTGGGGCTCTTCCTCTTTCTTTTCTTCTTTTTTCTCTTCTTCCTTTTTTTCTCCTTCGTTCTTCTTCTCCTCCTCTTTCTTCTCCTTTGACACCACACAACAAGAAACTAATAAATAAATAAATAAATAAAAATCTTTTGCAAACCAAAAATGATAATTTTTTTTAGTATCTTTTGAGAAAGATAGACACAAACTTCATTAAAAAAATTTCCTAAAATTAAACATATAAAATTTTAGACTTTTGATACTAATTTTTATTAATTTTATAAACTGATACTATCTAATATCAACTGTATATAAGACCATATCGACATGTATCATAATACTATTATTTAAAATTATAAACTCTAACCTAGTTCAATATGCAAAAAGCATTGATGAAGAGCCGGAACTTTCCACTCACATAAAATAAATAAATTAGGTAAAAGAGCTCAAGAGATAGTGAGAACACTTACTTCACCCATATCTTCCAAACTTCTCTAAGTATACCTCAGGCCTCTCTCTCTCTCTCTCTCTCTCTCTCTCTCTCTATATGAGGGGGGAGAAGAACATTTAAGCAGGAGGGTGATACTGCAAATCCGAGGTGGAATGATTTAATAAAAAGGTAGACAAATGTCCTTCAGCTGAGTCAGCATCTCATAATTTGCCCTCTGTACGTGGTACTAAAAAAAGAATAGGACAAACAAGCCATTTAAATTTTAAATAGTTGTTCTTAATATATGTACATAGTTGCATATCCATGACGTATTGTATGATCATACATGTGATAATCTCTATTTGAGACTAGTCATCCCTATACTATACCCCATGTGATGATACATTGTACAATAGCTCTATCTAAGGCTAGTTTGAAATGACATTCTTGCCCTCGCTAATTTTGATTCACATTACTGACACTAATGATTTCTTAAAGTATGTGATTAGTACCACTTTAGCCTCAAATTTTTAAAATTTTTGATTTTGAATTTCAAGTATACATTTTGATACACTTTAGATTCTAGTATGGTTCAAAATTAAAAACAAAAGAATGAAATAATATATATCATTTTGACATATATGAGCTAGTTGCTTTTAATCTCTTTATCTTTAATTTATAATTTTGATTATTTCTATACAATGTTAATAAGACATTAATCTCTTGAAAATGAATTTGTAAGAATTCTATTACGTTTCCCAATAAAATCTAGTGACCATTTTTTTATTTTTTTTTCCGTTGAAAGTATGGAAAACGTTTTCCCAACTGATCAAATTAATAAAGATGGTTTTTCAAAAAAATTGAAAGAATGTCATACTAGTATTGAAACTGGTACCACTTTCGTTGGAGATTCCCATCCTCTTAGTTACAAGTTGAAAATGAATATCTCTATTGCATGATTAATAGTTTTAAAAGAGTCACGTTAATAAATTAATATTTTAAACTTTAAAAAAGTTATAAGAGAGATTAAAACTTATAAACAACATTGGAAATTCTTTATAACTTATTTAAATTATTAATTTGAAATATATATTACAATCTCATAGATTGAAATAGAGATCTTGAAAATTTGTAGTAGAGAAAATCTTAACCCTTAGCTGGGCATGGAAGTTTCTTTAAATTCATTTGGGATTCCAAGTATGGACGAGTGGCATGTGGCCGAGTGGTCGAGTAATATGTAGTCATGTCTTAGGATGCGGTGAGTGGAAGGTCTGGGATTTGAGTTAATGGATCAGCAGTAGGGTTGCAAACAAGTTCAGGCTCTGTTCGATAACTAACTGAGTTCGAGTTCGGTTAAGCTTGTTAATATTAATAAAACTCGGGTTCAACTTGATAAGGTTTTTTAGTTTATTTTATATTTATATTATTTAAATAAAAATAAATGAGCCGAGTTTATTCGAATTCAAACTCGGCTCGTTTTACTAAAGGAGATTAATATTCAAATTCAAACTTGACCCGTTTATTAATCGAGTTGAGCCGAGTCCTTAATGAGTCAAGCTGAGCCAGCTCGCAAACAGCTCGACTCATTTGTAGTCCTAATTAGCGATGGTCTCTTTAAATTGTACTATTATTTTATTAATATATTAACATTCTATTTTTGAAAAAAAAAAAAAATTGTATGGACGATTCAATACTTGCCTATCAGGACCTTGAGAAAAAGAGAGGGGAATTTTGTGGACCCATGAAATTCACCGATCACAGCGTGACACCTGTGACGATAAGGCTTTTAGTCTCCAATGATATGAAAGTGGAAAGTGAAAAAAACAAAGTTGAAACAAAAAAAAAGTTGATAGGTCAGCTTCATGTCTTCACGTAAACAAGTTGATAATTCGAATATTCAGTATGTTACTCCACAAAGTCACAGTATTGATTACAGTATTGATTAGAGTTGGGAAGTAGATATTTTGATTCCTTTCAATTAATCGAATCAAATTGATCTGTCACATTTTAAATAGATGTGTAATGATGAGCGAATGGTTGCAGATTAATTTTTTTTAATCCGCATAATTTTGAATGGTTGGTAGATTTGAAGTTACTTTGGCCGCAACCAAACCGCTAAACCGTGAATACTCCTAGCAATTTGTAAAATTTTGTATTTTCAATTTGTTTAAATATTTTGTTTGTATTTTTAATTGAAAAAGACTTTAGATATTCTATTGTGTTTTCAATTTGGAAATCCTTTTATCAAATAAAAAGTGTTGATATTTGTATTTTTGTGTGGAAAATATAAGGCTTAATTTTATCATTTAAAAAAAAATCAAATTAAATATTTTTTAATAAAAAAAATAATGAAAATAGTTTTAATAATGCATGATTTTCTTATATGTATTTATTATTGGTATTTGACAATTTACTTGATAATTTTTTAATTATGTTGAGTTGAATTGTTATCAAAAAAAAAAATGTTGACAAATTGTTAGGCTTAATTTTATCATTCAAAAAAAAAAATCAAATTAAATATTTTTTAATAAAAAAATAATGAAAATAGTTTTAATAATGCATGATTTTCTTATATGTATTTATTATTGGTATTTGACAATTTACTTGATAATTTTTTAATTATGTTGAGTTGAATTGTTATAAAAAAAAAATGTTGACAAATTGTTATATTATGTTCAAAATTAATAAAAGTTTAAACCGCCAAACCGATTCGCATCCATCCACCAATCTACCAATTTACTCAATCTGCATCCGTCAATCCGGTGGACAGATGCGGATTTATTTTTTTCAATCCGCTAATCAGGCGGACGGATGGCGGATTGAAAGTTTCCTAACTGTAATCGAACCGCAAACACTCCTAGTACTAATATGTATTTTAATTTAGTGAAAATAATAAAAAATAAAATTATGGTTTCACTCATATAACAAAATAAATTTTAATTTTATCAATTTAAAATTTTTATTTATTTATAATTTAAATTGTTTATCTATTACGATTGATACTATCTATCTATTTTGATTAAAAAATCAACAAAAAATTAGTTTAGTTATTAAAATGAACGAAAATAGTATATGTATTTTAGTTTAATAATTACTTGGTTTTACTTAATAGAAATAGCCTAATAGTTTAGATTGAAACAAATCAAATTATTTGGAAAAATTACTCATAAATCCCATATGGAGAAATGTTACTCCATTTAGTCACAAGTGTTTTTTATTAAACCATTTAGTTATTTTTATTTTTAATATGTTAGTTATTTTTGATTTGGTGGTATTTGTTTACCCTTGTTTGTAATTTCATTTTGATTTTAAGGTATAGGCTAACATTACTATTTTTGTTGAGAGGGGATTGCGTGAATTGATTTGGGGAGTTTTTGATTTCTTCTCGTCAATGTTTCAATTACTACTGTGGATTTGGTGTTTTTGTTGAAGGGTTGTGTATGGGTTAGGTGGTGGCGCTGCTGATTTCTGATATTTTGTGTTTCACGTGTTGTGCGACGTATGTCAGGTTGGTTTGCTTTCTTTATTTTTGATGTTGTTTTGTTGTAGGTTTTTCGATGTTGGGTTGGTATGTACGTTGGACCATTGCTTTTTGATGTTAATAGTGTCTATTTTCTCTTTTTTTTGGAGAAATGTTATTTTATTTTCTGTGTGGGCTAAACGTGTAAAACAGTGTCGTAGGTGTGGATATCGTCACGGTATATAGTAATAATGTTTATGTTTTTTATCGAACCACGTAGTTATGATATTGCTCACAGGTTTAACATACAAGAATGTTTTGTGAGACTTTACAAACTTGGGTTGTGGAATTGTTATGCTGATATGTTGACGTATTGGTTGGTCGTTGTGTTAATTTTATGTAAATTCAATGTTGTGTTATCGTGATGTTGCAAGCATACCATTGATATGAACATTGTGTCAATTCTTCCAGATAGACCACCCACATACACTTATATGAATATAAATTTGTAAATGTAATTATTTTTTTTTCCCCTTGTGCAGGTATGAAGTTCATGACGCTGTTGTTGTCGTTTGAATGGACAATTGTGACCGTGGTGTTCTCTCGCCCGAATCACATTTTGAGCTACTCATGCATGCATTATCTGAAACACAATCAATAATATCACATTAATAAGCAAATATAAACAAAAAATTTGCAATTCAACACAACCACCAACCTCAAACACTATAATTCAACACAAATGCGTCCACAACTCAAATGATGACAACGCGACGTCCATATACGAATATCATTAACTAATTGCCTATTGAGAATAAATTGCCAATGCAATAACACTGACACAGTGACACAAACCATTGTGCTCACAGTCAAACGATGACAAACCTTTGTCCCCAAAATACGCCCGCCCTACAACGTAACATTACAATTATATAGTAGCCGAACGTGTACAACCAAATACATTCAAATATGCCCTGCTACAATGATTATTAACAGTCATAGCAAACACACAACTACACCTCGCACAAAATAAGGACAATGTCATCAATTATTTGCCCAACCAAAACACACCATGCCAACGCAACCAACTAACAACTTAACACTACACATTGTACTCTCATTTAGACAACTACAACCACATCAAGTCTGTCTCCCAAAAAAAATTCAAAATAGCTACGTATTTTAATGCATAAGTAGGAAGCGAACATATATAACAATGTAGATTCAAACATGTTTTATTATCATTTTCATTCACATTACCATAATCATTACCACATTGCTACATTGTTTTAGAAAATAAGAATCCATACATAGACTTAGCAATAACCAAAAAAGAAAAAAACCACCGACTACATTAGAACATAGACCTACGAAGCATTGTATGCACCATCACACACTGACAACCACATCGAAACTCACCTCCACAATTCCTCGATTGCCGAGGTAACTTAACACTTAAATAAGATGTGAACATATATAACAATGTTTATTCAAACATGTTCTACTATCATTGTCATTAACATTAATAACAAACATGTATTAGACGCAGTCCAAAAACAAGGGTTCATAAACCACATGGAACCACAACCGATAGAACCTAGTCAAGCATAATGAACACAGAACGACATGAGATAACTTTTTCGATTTACGAACCTTTATGCTCACTAACATCACATATATATTAGTAAAAGAGACAACACCATCAATACCAGAACACCTAACTTAACTACAAACAC